CCAAGGAAACTTAGGAAAACCCTAATTTTCCAGAGGACCCGGATCTCTGCGGAAGCCAACGACAAGTAACCAAATAAGTGCGGAAAATATGAAAAACATGATAAAACAAATTTATAAAGAAAGTTGAACCTTATGAAAGGCTGCCTACGTACCCCTTTCGAGGATCAAGTCGAACATAGTTCAGTTGGTAAATATGGACAAGAGATCGAACTGCATGGGTCAGTTCGATCTAGAAATTGAGCGCCAGTCATAAAAACCGAACTTGTCGAGAAAAATGCCTAAGTTTCTAAGTGCGAAAAATTCTAAGTCTATAAAAGTTGTAAAAGTCTCACATGAGAGCTCTGAAATTTGTCCTCTGCTTCTGTCCTATGCCTCTTGCTTATATACTCCCTTCCTTGGCGGTTTGGTCCTTCCATTTCGCCCAGATTCGAGTTTATCGAGAATCTTCCAGTTATCTTTATCTTTCTTTTTTTCCTATGGAAATCTTCTATTTATCCTCAAAGTTGACACTTATCTTCAAATTTGACATTTATCTTCTTTCTGCGAGTAAATCGTCAAAACGTTATTGTATCTTTGGGTTAGATTTCGTTAAAGTCGCGAGATAGCCTTTTATCGCGTTTAGGACTTTTCGGGCCGTTTTTGCTATAAAACCGTTTTACGACTTTATACGAAATCGTTTCCTGATGCGATGCCATTTTTAAATAAGTTTCTCGAGTTAATCATAAATTTTGGCAATGTTCGATGTTTCGGTTAATCGTTACTGTTTTCTACGATTTGCTCGAGGTTTTATTAAAAACGCGTTTTTTACGATTTCTCACGTAAAATCTCGAGTAAATTTCATAGTTTAGGCAATATTTGGTGTTTCATTTAACTGTTGCCGTTTTATACGATTTCCTCGAGTTCTTTAGAAAACAAGACTTTACGGTTTTTATCGTAAAACTCGAACGATAGGACGGATCGAGACAAAATGAGAGACATTTCGACCGTGGTTCAGAACATGATCGAGCCGAAGGATGTATGCCTTGAATCGAGGACATGGGAGATCGAGGCTCGGGATGGTCAGCTCGACGTACGGCGAACTGAACCGACCAGTTCAGCTCGCCGTACGGCGAGCTAGCTCGAGGCCACTTAGCTCGTCGTACGGCGAGCTATAGTTCAGCCGAACCAGCTCGCGGTTTACGGCAGATGCGATTTTTCACGATTTTGTGCTTGACTCGGACGATCGTGTAATCGGCGTTTGTTTCGTTCTTCCGATATCACGATTTCCAAGTTTTCTGCGGATTTCCTTTGTTTGGAAATTTCCTTTAATTTTATACAACTACTTCTCGAGTTTTATAAAACGACTTCTCGAGTTTTATAAAAAGAATTTTTATTTTTGCCAGAAACTTTTAGCCATTAATTTCGTCGTGACCGATTTTGACACCAACAATGACCTTGTTCCATTCGCAGTACCAAGTCACTGTAATGCATGGATTTTAGGGAGAGTGAATATGGTAAGACCTCACATGATTCTTACTCATATACATAACTATATACTTATATATATTAGTACTTGAAAACAAGTATTAATGCCCGGGATGAACCTCTATGAACATTCATGAATATTTATAAAATATTTACACTAAGTAAATAACTCACATATCAATATTGATCAAGAGAAAAATCCTATCAGTCATCTATATTACCTCCATAATTAATCCTTAATTAATCATAATTAACCCTTAATTAATCATAACTAACCCTTATTTAATCCAAGATTAATTCTTAATTAATTATAATTAATCCTTAATTAATCCAAGATTAATCAATAATAAATCCATAATTAATTCATAATTAAACCAAGATTAATCCATAACAAAGATTAGTACTTGAGAACAAGTACTAGATTAGGATTAACCTCACTTTAACATTTCAAATTTGATTAAGTGTAAATGTTTACAAGAGTAAGCACAACACCATTCTTATTGATTTCAGAGACTTATTAACTTTATCACGCACTCATTTATGTTCTATCTCGACATCAGTATAGACTCACCTAGAGATTGGTCTTAAAAAGGCTTGGACAAGACTTGAGTTCCACTTGAACAAAGCTGAATGGACAAGGTTCTGATCGGTTTCTATGGTTAACTCAACAACTCATCCAACTCACTTGATTGCGGCTTACAAAGAGACTGAATGGACAGGATTGGACTAGCAAAGCCCCATGCCTTAGCAAGACGAACCAAAGGACTAGATGGCCTCAGCTGATCCTCCTCTCCAAGGTAAGCTTGCGGCTGAACTGATCAAAGAGAAAGATCAAGGTTCGATCATGCTCTGAACTGAACTAGGTCTAGGGTCTTATTTATAAAAACTCACCTTCTTATCTTTCTCACAGCAACAGAGGGATCAAAGGTAGAAGATCTTATCACAGCAATTATTTTCTTGATTTATTTTTCAGATTCTCTCACTGATTTTTTTTTTCTGTTTTTCTTTCTCTAGTTTTCTCTGAACTTCTCTTGATTTTTCTGAGAGTTATGAACGTGGGAAGCAGCTGGCGGAGGAGATAAATAAGAGCTGAGGTTGCTTCAGGTGTGGGTTCTCTTCAGGATAAAGTTTGTCTAAGTGTGGACAGCTGGCCAGCTGCTTCAGAACTCACAGCACCAGCTGCTGTCCTTTCCTTCTCCTAAAGAAAGCTCCAGCCCTTTCATGTGATTGTCACATGACCAGCTAAGGAACCAAGCAAGCAGACAGCTTGTGATTGTCATGTGCTGGATACTGAAGAAGCTAGGCAAGCAAGCAGGTCCATAACTTGTGGTTTAATACTGAGCAACCAGGCTGGTGGAGGAGATAGCTCAGTTTAGAAATTATAGGAAGTTGATTGATAATTTTAAATATTTTCTCAACCAAAAATTCCTTATCTTGGGTCTCATTTTGCTTTCGGAAAATCTCGTCCAGCTTACTAAAAGTCGACCATAAAAATTAACACTCGACCAGAATTATCAAGGGAAAGTCTTTTGACCACAAGACAGCCCCATCAAGAAATTAATTAACCGGGTCGATTTTTATTTTTAATTCTAGTACAACTCCAAACTAGTCGAGCGAAATTTTTCTCGACCAAAAATTCATTGGCTCGTGAGGGTTATAGTTAGTAACGGTGAACTTCACTAATCAGAAACTTTCGTCAACCATACCATTTTATTTATATCGTTAGTCAACAGTTATAGTTATTAACGGTGAGCTTAAAATTAATTTTAAATTTGATGATTTTTTATGGCACAAACATAAATAAAAAAATCTATAATATTGAATATATTTTAAATATTATTTTTTAATAACTATAACACTAATAAATATAATTATAAATAAAAATAATTCCAACCAAAAATATAAACATAACTCAATGTAAAATAATTAGTTAACATATTACTAATTGAGTATTTTAGTAAAAAAATGATTATGAAAATTTTTTATTAATTATTTAGGATTATTTTTTAAATATTTATATAATTTTATTTGGATTATGTTTTATAATTTCATTTTCAAAAATTTGTTAGTGAAATATTATTCAGCTCTTGATTTTTGAATGAAAAGAGTTATCGATTAATGGATTATTCATGATTCTTTATATTTATAATTAAGATCTTCAGAAAAAATCAATATGATTTCTATAAATTTGTTACAAGAATTTTTCTGCATTTAAAGAAAAATAAGTTTCACCATAGAGTTTTAAGATCCAAAAAGTTCCTACATCAAGAGTGGTTAAAAATATTTTTTTCAATATTTAAAATATATTCAATATTTTAGAAAAATATTGATTTATATTTGTGCCAAAAAATCATCAATTTTAAAAATCATTTTGTACCTACCGTTAGTCAACTATAACTATTGACTAACAATATGATTAAAATGGTATAGTTTGTGATTAAATAACTTGTCAACAAAATTTGAATGTTTTTTTGCTTACAAAAAAAACTAATGCTTTATTTTAATCAAATTTGAAAGTTGATGATTTTTTTTTGTCGATCGTTCATCTAAATTAGATCATTTGGTAGTTAAGGCGAGCCGATTCTCCTAGAAAGAAACACAAGTTGATGATTTAAGTGACATGACATTTTTTTGTCTTATAACTAGTAAACGGTCCTAATATACCATTGTCTTATCTGTCAGCAAATCAATACCATTAAAATAGAATCACTCATTTTAATGACATTTTTATGTTTTCTAAAAATACCTTTAATATTATGAACATATCTAATTTTGCATTAATGGTAATTTGGTCTTTTTATTCTTCATCTAAAAACTATATAGTAATGAGTTTTATTAATGGACCAAATTCACCTTCTAATTATTAGCCCACTGGTCCTGCCCAATTTGATGAATCAATATTTGAAAAAAACTAAGTTGCGGGTGCGGGTGCAAGTCAAATATATTTTACGCGGACGGATGCGGATTGTTCTAATTTCAATTGTGGGTATGCGGTAATCTGCAAAAATAAATTTTACAAAAAATATTTTTCAAAAATATACTAAATTTCATTAAAAAAAGTTTTTAAATAAAAATTTTAATTAAAATATACTATTTAATATTATTTTTTAAAAAAATAAAAAAATATTTTTATTATTAATAATTATCTGCAGGTCTCGCGGATTATCCATAATTAAGTGGAGCAGATACATATAAAATTTATTTTCTTTGTGGATCTGGCAAGTCGGACAGGGCGAGTTTGATCCGCTTCCTATCACGAAGCGTAGTTAATGAATATTATTTTTTCAAAATAAAACTACACAATTACATATAAAATATTTACATAGACATTGATGATAATAATAAATTAAAATCTACAATAATTTAAAAAAATTATATTAAAAAAAAACATTTTGTATCATCAAAGCAAAAAAAAAACTTATTAAAAATGATATCTGCACACGGATCAAAAATCTATTAACTCTTATAATGCGCTCTCTCACCTAGTGTCCCTTATCCTTTAAACATTGCGACTCCTTTTTCTCCATCTCCACTCGATGGGGACTCTCACAAGCGTCGCTTTTGCAGCAGCGATTAACATAAGATTCGGATCGTTTAACTGCAACCTCCGGGAAAAGATCAAGACACCATTGCCCAAGATTACTACATCACTGAGAGAGAGATACTATTTCTCTTGCACAGAGGAATATCATAGATTTAGGTTTGTAAAGTGTCTAGGCAATGATCAAAACGGTAATGGCGGAAAAAACGGGGACACCAGTTCTTCGGTCTTTAACACGGCTTCGCGTGATGAAAAAGACGAAGCAGACGAGAAAAGTAACATAAGTAGCAACGAGTTCGGTTCCGACAAAAGTCGTTCTGTTTCTCCAAGGGTACACACTCTTATCTCTGATTTTGAAAATTTCTTGTCCTAATTTAAGTTAGTCACTGTGATTCCTGGGTTCAATCAATAACACTTCCTCACTGATTCATCAGAGTCTTATCTTCTCTTTCGTTTTTGGTTTCAATTGTTAGTATGAGAATACTGTCCCTTGAATTTCAGTGTGTTCTTGTCACTTTCTTTTCCTGGGGTTAATCAAAAACACCCTTCACTGTAAAGAGAGTTTCTCAAAATTTGTTTCCTACTTAGACCATCTCAATATGCTTGCGGATATCAGTCAGTTAAGCCTTGCTTGTGCTTTTCTCTCAGCCATCGCCTATTGATCCGACATACAGCAGCTTCCAAATTGACTCTTTTAAACTGATGGAGCTTCTTGGACCTGAGAGAGTAGATCCTGTCGATGTGAAGCTAATAAAGAACAACATTTTTGGTTATTCGACATTTTGGGTCACCAAAGAAGAACCCTTTGGGGATCTCGGAGAGGGCATCCTATTTTTTGGGAACTTGAGAGGAAAAAGGGAAGATGTTTTCGCAAAGCTTCAGAGGAAACTAGCAGAGCTTGCTGGCGATAAATATAATCTCTTCATGATTGAGGAGCCTAACTCAGAAGGACCAGACCCACGCGGCGGTGCACGCGTTAGCTTTGGTTTGCTTCGTAAAGAAGTCTCGGAGCCAGGACCAACCACGCTCTGGCAGTATGTGATTGCTTTCATATTGTTTCTTCTGACCATTGGTTCCTCTGTGGAGCTAGGCATTGCTTCTCAGGTGCAATTTTTGTCCCCCAGGAAAACTACATGGTTCTGTCGTTGATCTCATACAGTTACTTGATTCTGACAGATTAACCGTTTACCTCCTCAAGTGGTTAAGTATTTTACCGATCCAAATGCTGTTGAACCACCTGATATGGAGCTTCTATATCCATTTGTAGATTCTGCCTTGCCTTTGGCGTACGGTGTCTTGGGAATTCTTTTGTTTCACGTAAGTTAGATACAGCTTATATCTATATTTTCAACTGTAATTTCGGTTTTCTTACCAACACTACTGATATCTGGTTTACTTATTTTTCCAGGAATTAGGCCACTTTCTTGCTGCAGTTCCAAAGAAAGTAAAGCTTAGCATTCCTTACTTCATTCCAAACATCACACTGGGCAGCTTTGGTGCAATCACACAGGTGAAGCATGTCCTGCTGCAACTCTTTAAAGTTCCGGGCAGCTTGAACCTTTTGGAATTGTTTGAGAGACAAAACTTACTGAATAATGTAGTAACGCTGTTTACTTGATTTGTACAGTTCAAGTCAATTCTTCCCGACCGTAGTACGAAAGTTGACATCTCGCTAGCTGGTCCATTTGCTGGAGCTGCACTCTCAGTGTCCATGTTTGCTGTTGGTTTGTTCCTATCTACACTCCCCGATGCAGCTAGCGATCTGGTGCAGGTTCCCAGCATGTTATTCCAAGGTTCCTTACTTCTTGGACTCATCAGCAGAGCAACTCTCGGATATGCGTAAGCTCTCCACAGCTAGCGACTGTTCAACCTTGACGAAATTGTTTTTTTTTTTAACGCCAACATCCTTTTCTATCGATTGCAGAGCTCTGCATGCTGCAACAGTTTCTATCCACCCGCTTGTTATTGCTGGGTGGTAGCGTCTAATGCCTTGACTCATGCCCTATTAATCTAGTTGTAAAAACAAAATTACCTCATTTTGAAGTTTCATTGTTTAGGTGTGGTTTAACAACAACTGCATTTAATATGCTTCCTGTTGGATGTTTGGATGGAGGAAGAGCTGTACAGGTACCTCTCTTATATAAATTCTATTTTCGAAAGAAGAAGCCTATTGTTGCTGGTAAAATTGCTGTTTCAAAATGCATATCTTGATTCGAGTGTGCTATTATATATATTCCAAATAAAGCAAATTCTGGAAGGAAACATTTGGTTATTGCTGTCATGCAGGGTGCATTTGGGAAAAATGCACTGGCTACATTTGGTTTGTCAACCTATGTCATGCTTGGACTAAGAGTGGTATATTCAGTTGTTCCGAGCCTTGTTTTGATATATTTGACATGTGTAATGCTTTGACTAAGAGTGGTCTGTTCAAATAAGCTATCTATTTGCCCTTGGATTTTTCTATTTTTCAGCTCGGTGGCCCTTTGGCACTTCCTTGGGGATTTTACGTTCTAATTTGCCAGGTACAGAGATTTTCTGAACTCTGCAACTTCCAACAGTGCGAGTCAGCCTTGAGAACGTGTTTCTAAAAGAGTACATTGGGTTTGAACAGAGAACACCTGAGAAACCGTGCCTGAACGATGTGACCGAGGTTGGAACATGGAGGAAGGCCCTTGTCGCGACTGCAATTATTCTGGTGGTTCTGACACTCCTGCCTGTGTGGGATGAACTAGCAGAAGAAGTTGGAATAGGGCTAATAACCACATTTTGATGTTTGTCATTGTGTATGCAAGCAGATGTAGTTAGGGCCAATGTGATGCAATATTTCTTGGCACTATTTAGATTGCCAAATATACCGAGTCATGTATGTATGTTGATGAAGTGTTCTGATTAGTGCTTTTCCTCCACATTATACATATTTATAACATCCCCATTTGAATCCAAAGTCTTATCCATTGTAAGAGAACGATAAGAGAGTAGCATTTAGCATTTGCAAAAAAAATAGGATTAACCCGAGGTGTATAAAACATGACATAATTGCAATAAAGATGGAGATTGGTCTAGAAGAGAAGGTACCAAAGAAATGTCATTTCCACCTAAGAGACACAGTAATCATAACTTCATGCAGATCTCTAAATTAGGTAAAACAAAACAAAGGGGTTTCGACAAAAGAAATACCTTGCGACAAGTAGGAATGATACTAGTGTGACTGTGGGAGGAGCCTGCAGGTAGGGCAATACCATTTCCCTTTGAATCTGGTTTCGGGGGTGAGGCCAACGCATGTATAGTGAAACCATTCACCTCCTTGACACTATCGAGAGGGAATAACGATCACATGGTTTTGTAATAACTAGACATGAAACAGAAAATAAGATGGTAACAGAGCAGACTCACATTCTCATTGTCACAAGCAATCATGTCCCCAAAAGACACCTGAAATTAAAAAAAAAAAAAGCGTTAATCAAAGACCACAACAAGATGAGCAACCTAAAGTTTTTTGCAGCAGAATTTATATATTCAGGACCTGATGGCAGACACAGTACGTCGGTTCGTTAGGATCGATTGGCTGCTCATCAATAGGGGTAAAGTCTTTCCGATGGCTTCCTGGAGGAGGCATGAGCTCGAAATCCCTATCACGATCCCACTCTCTATCTCTGTAATCAATCTTCTTAGGCTGAGGTGTGCCATAGAAAGACTTGCGCTTTTCCTGCTTGGGAACAATAGGTAGTGGAGGAAGAAGAGAGGGCTCGTCTGCTGGAATTTTTCCTTCTGATAAAGAATAATATATGATAAATTAAAGAGGGCCACGACATTGAACAGGTTTAATTACTTCTTCATATCATCATAGAGATATGATTTGAGCGTTTAAAACTAAATGCAGTGCCTTGTTGATGTAGAAGACGTTTACAGGAGCCTTTAAAACAAAGATGAATACATAGCTTCCAAAACTTGGCCTAACTCCTTAAATCATTTGGTTATTTCAAGGTAAAGAAAAAAAGAAGACTGTAATTACCAACCGACAAATCTCAATCAATGCGACTCACATAGTAGTTCTAATAAAATCTCCTTGAGAAGACAGTAATTAGACATTACATACCTTGCTTCAAATCTTCAGCAAAATTATTGAGATCTTCATCAAGTCGTCTTACGTGACTGTCGATCTGCAACAGGAATAAGTACAATATTCACCACCACGATTACAAAATTTGATGAAACATCCAACAGGAGTTGATTTCAAATCTCAACAACAATGTCCAAATTCTGATTCGAATTAAACTCAACATTCATCTCACAGACATGATAGTGTTCTTGTGATAGACAATAAATCATAATTGCAGCAAACGGAAGAATTATGGAGCTTACAAGATCATAGGCTTGCCGGGCCAATAAGACCTTCTCCGTACACAAACTTAAAGCATTTTCCTGGCTGGACTCAATCTCTTTACGCATTTTTTCAACGGTTTCGTCTTCATCAATGCCAATGTTGTAGTGATTATTGCCACTGCCCTTCTTGGAACTTTGTGAGGCAATCCCTAAGCAATACTTAGTTTGTTGCCTTGTCTGGTTTATGAGCGCTTTAAACCAAGAAAAGTCATAGAAAATAATCAATTCATGAATTAATGTTCAAAAATAATAAAAATCAATTCACGAAAAACAAACACACTGAGGATTTATCGATCTTACATTGAGATCTCTCGTCCAGCTCGCGAACTGTATTTAACAATCTTTGAAGTTCTGCAGGGAAAGTGCTGGCATCTACACGCAAATAGAAAAATGAAGCCTTAAAATCGAAACGATTTAGAAAAATAGAGGGAGGATCTTACACTCAAGGTAATCATCAACGTAAACTCCAGTTCGCGCTATAGCCATCTTTTCTTGACCTTAGGAATTAAAATGAAATAGAGCTTTTTAATTTCAGATTCAGACCCACAAAAAAAACCCTAAATCACAAAAGCTCTTCACTTCGTGTGTTCTTCTTATTTATTTCCCCAAGCAATCGAACAAACAGAGGGCCACAAAAACACGAGTGAGGTCAAACCTCCAAACCCTTGAATCCTAACCTTTCTCCAAAGATCCCTCACTGGGTTTCCAAATCGGGGTAAATCTGATCTATAGTTTTACCCCAAAAAAAAAATCTACTATATACCGTACACACACAAACTCTTCAAAAAAAAAAAAAAAAATTAGGCGCCCCTCTTATATAATTAGATATCATCATTTAGTTTTCATTTAGCTCTTCGTTGTTTGTGTAGATTTTAACTTTTTTTTTGGTTTTTTTTTTTAATCAATACTAGATTTTTGATCTGCGCTTAAAAAGCGCGAGTATTATTTTTGTTGTTCTATTTACAGATGGATCGATAAGTCTTTTGCTTTGATGATATAAAATGTCAAAAATCAAAATCAAATTATTATGTGGGTATAAGAAACTTTTATTTTATAATGTCTCAAACAATTTTTTTCGTTTCTAAATAAGTTAACAATGGTTGTACCTAAAATGTGTACTTGAGAAAGATTATAAATTTAACAATTATTTTTTTTTAGTTTTGTGATTAATTCGTAAAATTATTTAGTTACAAAATATCGCTCAGTCAAACCCGCCCAATCCAACTCGCTCCGTAGCGGGTTAAGTCATTTTTCAACTGAAAAATTTGACCTGCTTGACCAACAAAAAAAATTTATTTTTGCAAGAAAAATCAGCTATTTAATGAAACTCATTATTATATAGTTTTGTAGGCCCAATTAAAAAGGACTAAAATATCATTAATGAAAAACTAAATTTGTTCATAAATGCCATTAAGAGTAATCTGGGAAAACATAAATCATTCATTAAAATGAATGATCATGTTTAACGGTATTGATTTTGGTTTTAAGTTAACTTTTTAAATTATGACAATTCTATTGATTAGTCAAAGAATAATCTCAGATGATCGTAATATTTATCTGTTGTAACTACTAATTCTCATATATTCTAATCTTTTCTCATACTTTTGATATATATGGTTAGTGTTAAAAGTACCCCTCCGTGCTTCATGTAGTATGGTACATGGTTAGTCAAAATCATTCACTCTCCAATAAATCATCTCTGTTCATTTCCTCTTCTTCTTCGTCTCTTATCTCTCCTCCCTGTTTTGTGAGAGTGGTAAAATCAGCGGGGATGGTTTTAATTCCAATTCCAAATCAGCTAACTCCTCGGTTGGATGTTCAATCATTGAGCTATTGATCCTCATCCCAGCTCAAATCAACATTACTTCAGGTAAGACATTATTTTGGTATGTAGCTTTAATTGTTGTAAAATATAATCCATGGATGATTACATGTTTTTTTTTTATTCTGATATTAGATTCGTTTATTTGTGTTGATAATGAAGTAATTGAGGAATAGAAAGTGTCGATGGTGTGTCTATTAGGGAATTGGATATTCAGCAACTGGTATAATCATAAAGAATGATAGAATGTCGGGAATGAAAGGCTGATTATGATTTGAAGAGGAAGAAACATCTGAAAAACTAGTATAACTATGCTATAAGTTCAACTGTAAAACTCTATAACTTGGTAAGAATAGACTGTTTATAACTTTGAAAGACATGGTATTAGTTGAACCGCAAATATGTGTAACTAGGTAAAACTTAGTATAGCTCCAGTAGTATAATTGTATAACTAGGCATAACTTAGTATAACTTTAATTGTATAACTCGATTTAACTATAACGGTTTATTTTTTATACAACAAACAATAGGTTATTCTTCTACACACATACACTTTCAATATGATGAACATTATGTGAAGTCTATAGATGATTATGAATGGATTCCAAGAGATGGTTATTTGTATACTATATCCTTTAAGACATCATCAATGGAGTAGACACTTATTCATTGTTAAAGGAGAGGATATGCAAGAAGATGACCATGGATCCGTGTAGGAATAGGCTGAATCTGAGTTGTATTTCACTGGTAGTGGGACCTAAGAGGAAACCATATATTTTGGATGATGGAGATGTGTTTGTTTATCTAACATCGGTGGATAAATAGCAAATTAAGAAGTATTTTGCATGTATAGGTCATCAAAGAATTGGAAATAGTTCCAATAACCGAACAACAATCACAATCAAGAGTTAAGAAAGTAAGATCATATGGTGGGAACTATAGTGAACTTGTGAGTGGAATACCCAAAGTTGAGGGGTAATCCGGGTGAACTCACTTTATATGCTCCCATAGAAGAAGCATAACAGTTTCTAGAGAGTATTGAGCAAGTGGAGAGAATGTTGTCAATGGATAAGCAGATGATGGGGCATTGGTTTGGATAATATAGAAAACGTGAACAACGAGGGCGACATGGATAACTCTATGGGTATTGGTGTTATTTGCGACTATGTTGAGCTGCCACCTATTGCCAAAGAAATTCCAATTGTAACTTAGGAGTGGGAAGATGGTATGGGTATTGAGATGTTTCAAGAATGTTTGAGTAAAGAAGTGGTGAAGATATAATTGATAGAGCATCACAACTGAACGTTTTGGAATCCGTATCTTGAACTCGGATAAGAGTGGATATGTGGTTAACTATTGGGGAGCAGATGAAGGCTGTAAATGGTTTGTGAGAGCTGAAAAGATAAGGAAGTCTAAAGTGTTCTCGATAAGAACATACGTAAAGATGCTTAAAGCTCTCGCGCTAATTCGAGTATTGGAATCAAAAGGAAAGTGACACCAAGATGTGTTGCAGATATTGTTAATGAAGATTTTTTGGGACTATTTGAGACACCTTCTGCAAGAACCTTGGTCGGTCTGGTTCAAAGAAGATTGGGTGTCGAAGTGTCGTATGCTACATGTTGGAGAGGAAAAGCCACGGCATGAAAAATGAGTATTCATAGCATTTATAGATATCGTTTCTAATTAGTGCTATATTTTATGTCTGCGTAATTTTTACATAGCGCTTGATCATTTATGAGCGCTATGATATATTGGTCGGAAAAATATCTTTGACTCGCTCGTACATTTTTTTCGCATATATGGCAAAAAACGATATAGTAGAAGTTAATCGAGAAAATACTCTTGGCACTACAACCTATTACAAAAAGAAAAAAATAATAATCTCTGAAAAATAAGATCCCCTTTGAGCAGTTCCATTATTCGATCTCTAACACCCTCAATTTCATTTCGATCTTTATAGACTCTATCTCAAACTCTATCAATCGATCCTCTCTCAGTCGAGGCTATCGATCTGTGTTATTATAATTCACTATTATCAGTTTTGATCTTCATTTCTTCTTCATATTCATCATTAAAAACAAATTGGGGTTCTCAAGATTCACTTCAATTAAAGGTAAAATGTCATTTTAAATATTTGATTTTGAAGGTTTTGGTCACAATCTGTATTTCGATTAGAATGTTTTGAGTCAAAATATTTATTTCGGTTTGAAGGTTTTGGGTCTTTATCATTTCCTTTTGCATGTACGCAAATGATATAGAGTAAGACCTAAGGTTTCCCATTTTCTTTCTGCAGATTTGTCTTTCATATTGAAGCTTCTTGTTGCTGTAGATTATGTTAGCGTGTAAACTTGTGTCATTCTCTTTGTTTGGTTTTTAGTTCTCTTCATTGTGGTTTGATATATTTGAGTCTCATCGATGTATTTGTCATGAAATTTTGTATAAATTGGTGTGGAGTTGTGGTGTTATTGTTGGAAAATGGAAAAAGCATGGATTTGGCTACCGAGGTTTGAGTATGTTCCATATTTCATTGATTTAATAGAAATAAAATGATGACTTATGCTTACATCTCATGTTGATAATATGTTGGTATTTACAGAGGCAGCCTTTAGTATGAGCAAGGAGCAAAACAATTTGTAACAGAATTAGTGAGGCTGTTGGGTAAACCTGTCGAGATGCTATGTCCTTGCATAGATTGCCAGAATATTTTCCACCAGGTTATTGAGACAGTATTAGAGCATTTAGTTACTAGAGGGATGTATCATAAGTACAAGAGAAATACATGTTGGAGTAAGCATGGGGACAAAAGGAATGCTAACATGGATGATTTTCAGAATTCCAAATCCAGAATCTGAGGCTTATAAGTTGAGTAGGACACCGTTTGAAAATAAAGGAAGTCAGCAGCGAGCATGCCACTTTGAAAGCCAGTGTAAAGGTTCTGAAACAAGTGAAGATTCAGAGTTTTTGAAGAAATCAAAGGATGCTGAAACTCCTATATACGCGAGGCGTCCCAATCACACTAAGGTTTCTGCAATCATGGGCTTTTACCGCATTAAAGTGAAAAGTGGGATGTAAGCGAAATAATTTGACCAGCTCTTAGCATTGGTTCATAATATGCTTCCGAAGTCCACAGTTAAGATGAAGAAGATTTTGAAGATTTTTGGGTTTGGCTATGATATGATCCATGAGTGCAACAATGATTATATTCTTTATCGGGAAAAATATGAGAAGATGGAAAGCTGCCCAAGTGCATCCAGATGGGAAACTGATACACACTCGTGAGGAGAAGAAGAGGATTCCTGCGAAGGTCCTAAGGTATTTTCCAATCAAGGAGAGATTCAAAAGGATGTTCAGATCAAAAAAGATGGATGAGAATTACTTTGGCATTTCAGCAATGCTAGTGTAGATGGTACATTGCAACACCCAGTGGATTCATTGACCTAGGATCAAGTAAATGATAAATGGCCATAGTTTGCTGCTGAACCAAGAAACTGATAGAAATCTTCCGAGTAGTGCACTTGAAGGTTAGTGATGGATAGACTTTGATCGAGAAATCAACCAAAGGAGAATGGAATGGATGATGGATTGTAGTTGAAGATGATGAGATGGTCTTCAGAAACTGATTTGTGGATGGATCAATCCCTTGTGTAGAAGTGCCCTTGATCAA